TAAGGAGGGGGTTCTTTCAGGGGTGATTAAGTCATGAGGGTTTTGCCATCATGAGTGGGATTAGTGCCCTTATAAGAGAAGCATGAGGGAGTCTTTCTGTCCCTTCTGCCATGTGAGGACACATAGAAGTTTCCCTGTATGAGGAATGTGTCCTCACCAGACACTGAATATGCTGGCACCTTGATCTTGGACTTCCTAGCCTTCAGAACTGTGAGCAATACATTTCTTTTTTTTTTCTATTTTTTTTTTTTTTTTAGATTTCAGAACTTTCTTTTCTTTTTTTTTTATTATTTATTTTGTCAATATACAATGTGGTTAATTATTGTGGCCCATTACCAAAACCTCCCTCCCTCCTCCTTCTCCCCCTTCTCTCCCAACAGTGTCCTTTCAGTTTGCTTGTTGTATCAGCTTCAGGGAATTGTAATTGTTGTGTCTTACCCCCCACCCCCGGTTTGTGTGTGTGTGTGTGAATTTATTTATTTATTTTTAGCTCCCACAAATAAGTGAGAACATGTGATATTACTCTTTCTCTTCCTGACTTGTTTCAGTTAATATAATTCTCCCTAGGTCCATCCATATCATTGCAAATGGCAGTATTTCATTCTTTTCTAAAGCAGAGTAGTATTCCATTGTGTAAATATACCCCTTTTTCCATATCCACTCATCTGATGATGGACTTTTGGGCTGGTTCCAACTCTTAGCTATTGTGAAGAGTGTTGCAATGAACATTGGGGAACAGGTGTACCTTCGACTTGATGATTTCCATTCCTCTGGGTATATTCCCAGCAGTGGGATAGCTGGGTCATATGGTAGATCTATCTGCAATTGTTTGAGGAAGCTCCATACCATTTTCCACAGAGGCTGCACTATTTTGCAGTCCCAGCAGCAATGTATGAGAGTTCCTTTTTCTCCGCAACCTCGCCAGCATTTATCATTCACAGTCTTTTGGATATTAGCCATCCTAACTGGGGTGAGTATCTCAGTGTGGTTTAGATTTGCATTTCCCGAATGCTGAGTGACGTTGAGCATTTTTTCATGTGTCTGTTGGCCATTTGTATATCTTCCTTTGAGAAATGCCTGTTTAGCTCTTTTGCCCGTGTTTTAATTGGGTTGCTT